AGAAAATTAAAAGCCTAACACTTTGGTCCCTCAAGTATGCACTGCTTTTGATGAATCCATCTTAGCTGGAATAATTTCCACAAATCCTTGCAGCTTTTGTGGTCAAAAATCTTGATTTTTTTTTTTTAATTATAAGGGCCTTTTTGACCAAACATAATTATTTAATCTCCCTCATACTATTATAATATCTCATGCAACAAGAAATCTCCATTTCACTAAAGCAGCTTTAAAACATGTTCTTACATACCTGTCCCCAAAAAGTTTATAAATAGCATATTTACCCCTATAAATGTTACATATATAACACCACTAAGCATTGTTATAGTCACTAATTTATTTAAAATCTACCTATAAAAGTAAAATATTTAAATACTATTAATTCATTTTATTATAATAGAATTGTTTGTTTCAATTATAATTTTAATATCACTGCACATATTCAGATGTCAGTAAGAATTTCTAGTGATAAAAATGTTAGACATAGATTTAGAGGAATAAATATGAAAGTCATTGACTTCAGTGAGATGCATACACAATTTTATCATTTTTTAAATTCCCAAAATTATTTTCTAATTTCCATTCTTCAGTCTTTTTCCCTTTTCCTAAACATTTTCTCCTCTCCCTCTCTGTTTCTTTCTTTTTCCTAACATCACAGCTTGAAGCAGCTGACAATTCTGTGCATGATCAGATTCTATAGTGCAATCTTGATGAGCAGGGAATCTTGAACCTAACTCTTTGACCTGCAAAGCTTGGGGCACACTCAGGGAATAATGGCGATCAACAACCAACTGGTAGACACAGTGAATGAGCAACTTTAAGCCAATTACTAGTCTCAGCTGGAAGACAACTCGTACCTCAAATTAAGCTCCAAGACTGCTCATCCACGAGGGATGGGGACAACAAAGTAACAAAGATCACAGAGAGGACACAGCTGCTGAATCAAAACAAAAGCGAAAGGTGAGCTACCGACAGAGGGTTTCCTACCAGCATTATATTTCGTATCTAACAAAGCCACTCTTATGATTACTTTAAGATCCTTATATTCATCTTTCATGTCCACATTGATTACCCCAGTCGTAAAGAATCAAGTACATCAAACACAGGAACAGCCATGAAGAACAGTTTTGGATGATTGTTAAGTGCAAATTTGGCGCTTTACCTTTGATCTAGAAATTACTTTCAATTTATATATATACCAATGGTCAAGACCTACCTCTGTAGATAATTCAAAAGGTGAATCATTGAAGCACGCAATGAGAAACACTGACCTCCGTTGATGTGATTCAATGGGCCATGCAGATTGCAGAGCACCATCTCCTGCCGACGAGAGATCAAGAAGGCTTGCTTGCCATCAGTGCAATCCTTGTCTTAGTTTATTCCTCGTGCAATAAAGACAGAGAAGATCGAATCAGAGTCGGAATGGTTGGATTCCTTTGAACTGCATTCTCTTCCACACGATGCAGTGAATCTTCTTTCCTGTTGTGGACCACGCAGCAGTGCGGCGCGTATAGGCCACTGCTACAATCGTGTGATGCCAACAACATCGGATCCCAAAGCCAAAAGATTCCAGACCGCTAGTTCTTAAAATGTAATGAAAGTTCAGTTCTTTCATTATGTCTGTGGTGGAACTTAAGAGCTGGAATCCTTTTCCAGGTCTCTTTGGTGCGTAGCTCAGTCTGTGGGAGATGGCGGAAGAGAAGCTGGAGGCGGTGAAGGACGTGGAGGAGGAGAAGACGGCCATCGTGCCGGCGTCGGAGAAGAAGCCTGACGACTTCAAGGCTCTCGCCATCGTAGAGCGTGAGATACTATATCTTTTGCTCTCTTGAGCTTCTCTTTTGGTTCCCTCCAAAAAGAGTCATTTTGGTGGTCGATCGATTGGTATTTTGTGCATGAAATTTCTTGTGGGAAAAAAAAAGGAAAAAAATTCAGTTCTTGAAGCACTATTCTGCCTTTGTCTATGCAAACTTCAAGAAGATTTTTTTGCAATAATTCATACTGATCATTATTTTGGTTTGTAAGAGCCATTTATTTCAAATCCTTTTTGTTTATGATATATAATTTCTTTCAATAACAAGCATAATTTTCTTCTTCTTTCTTTAGAACATCCTCTTTCGCAAGTATGAAACCATTGCAAATTCATGTATTATATGTGGATTTATAAGCTTAAGCTACAAGCATAAACTGTTAATGAAGCACAAGAATTCTTTTATACAGAGGTTGAGGATCCTGAGAAAAGCTCTGGGGATTCAGATGACAGAGGTTGGTAGTCTCACAAAAACTTTATCTCTGACTTGCTAATCTTTTGTTCTGTATAATAAGCCTCCAAATGTAAGATGAAGAACATGCTTTTAATGCTCTTCCAGATGCTGTTCTTGCAAGGATTGTAGCAGAGAAGAGATTGTCATTGATCAAGGCATGGGAAGAAAATGAAAAGTTTAAAGCAGAAAACAAGTAAGACATCAGAAGGCTTCTATTCATCAAATTCAGGAGCATCTTTAAGCAAATTGGCTATTGTGTCTCTTTGGTGTTTCTCTTATTCTTATTATTTTTTCCTTTTTATCCTCTACATGTGTATGTTTGAGATATAGCTTATTAGTAGATTTTGCACAGAACATGGTATGGTCCTTAGTTGAATAGCAAAAAAACATTGGGTAAGAGAATGATGGTGGAAGAACTGTGGCTGTATCCTGCTTTATATACTATGTTTTTGTAATTGTACTTGGTGTTTGAGAAGTTTAATCTGACACAGGATGTTTTTATTCAATTATGTTATGTTTTTTATTTCTATTCAGTGAGTCAATCATCAATTTTGTTCTTAATTTTAGATGTAGATATAAACAAACATGCTTTTGCTCAAAAAAAGAAAAAGTCAAACATGTAGAATTTATCTAAGCACTTGTGTTATTTAATTTGTACTAATAAGAGACATCTTTCATTGATCAGTCAATACATGATTTATCATATCTTCCTGCAATGTCAAACAGGGCACTCAAGAAAATATCATCTATTAACGCATGGGAGAACTCAAAGAAGGCAGAGGTGGAAGCTGAGCTGAAAAAGAAAGAGGTCAGTAACTTCTTGTAATATTAGTTTCTGCATGGTAAGTTTTTGTTGTTCATCCATCCAAGTTTTAGTTGGTTCTTACAAGCATCAGCAACAAATTATATAGCAGACAAAAGAAAAGTTAGGATTAACTTTAGCTGCAAATTAGCTGACTGGTAAGATTAGATGCCAATTGCCATGATGTTCATGCATGTAGTTTAATTAAGTCTTGCTGATTTTATTATACTAAGTTGCAATAATGCATTTGTTCAATGAAAAAGTATACAAAGTTCCAAGAACATATCTGTATCATGTAACTCCAATATAAGGATTAAACTCATCATTTAGGAAGCGACTATTGATATATTCTACAAATTATTAACTTTGGGGAGTTGGAATATGAAGAACTAGAAAGCTAAATAACTTAATTCAGACATAGAACAGAAGATCATGAATTCAAACAATGGCTATCTGTGGCGCATAACATGGTTGGATTAGATATTGCTGGACCAGAAATGTTCTCTAAAGTTGTGACCGGCATGTTCATTAAACGAATGCGTCTCTTGAGGAGATGAAATGTTCAAATTGGTCTACTGTCTTGGTTGAGAAGAACTCATAGAACACCTTTTGAATTAATAACCTCATACTCCTGATGGAAAAACAGGAAGAACTCGAGAAAAAGAAAGCAGAGTATGCAGAGGAAGTGAAGAATAAAATTGCATTGATTCACAAGGAAGCAGAAGGGAAGAGAGCAGTTGCTGAGTCTAGGCGCGGTGAAGAGGTCCTCAAGACTGAGAAAAAGGCTGCAAAATATCGTGCCACCGAGCTTGTTCCAGTTCTCCAAAGAAGGCTTTTTGATTTTTTCCAGTCCTAAAAATTGACCTTTCGTGACAAATTGAAGATGCTATTCAACTGATACTTGTATTTTCTGAGTGTGTTATATCAAAATTTTAGGTAGAGCTTTTTATGAGAAAGTTGTGCTAATTGTTTAGAGAGGTTTGGTTGGAATCCTGGTGTTTTGATCTGTAAAGTGTGTTTCATGTAGACAAGTGTTCAACTCTTAATACTCTTCAATGTGGACATTCTCCTGTGTGTTTAAACCAACATTTAATTACTTGGTGTCTTTATATCATTATATTCAGTCAAGATAACATCATGGTTTTGGTGTAGATTCATTTTGAAGTCTGCAAACAGGTGTAAGTTTGTTGATTTGCATCAGAACACTTTAGTTCCCAAGTTTTATGCTATGATACAATCCCAGAAATTGGCATATTCAAGAACAATTAATGTCCTGAATGACTTGTTAGTTTCCTTACAGAAATTCCACTGCCAATTCTTTTCACATCATCAATTTTATTCAATTCAACCTCACTGCTGCACCTATTTGTTGACGAGGCATGTTGGATTTGATTCTCTCAGTAGATGTAAACGAAAGTAAGTCAAATTACTTGACAGCTTAGGTGTTCTAGAAGGCGTTGATCGGTTTGGTTGAGTCAAAACCAGGAAATTGGCTATTAGTCTCAGATCATGACCATATTAAAATGTTTTTCCTCCAATTTTATTACATCATCTTTGTTCTTGAAGTGAGAGGGTGAGACAGGATGAGTTAAATCACAGTGCAACATGGAGACCTACAGAATATATGGAGTTGGACTGATCCTCCCTTTGCTGTAAAGAAAAAGACTCATCTGAGAAAGACTCAAGTGGAAGAAAGGAACAAAAACACAATTTTAATCATAAGATTCCTTTAAATAACAGCAAGTGAAAGTGAAACAAGAAATGTTCTTCCCCATCATAGGAGCACCTGTACAGAATAATGCATTAATTCATGTATATGCTTATCTGTGATATCTTGCTCTAATTCACAGACAGACATAACCTTCCTTATAGGTCAGTAAACATGTCATAGTTCAGCTCAAGATCAGTGTAAGTTTCACTGAAGGATAAGGGATCATGGAAACTGACTTCTGGAATCTGTTCTACAGGCTCAAACTGCTGCTGAAATCCTCCACGGATGCTTGTTTCTTCAAATTCATGAGGAAAATAACCAGTAGATGCCATTCCAAATTGCAAAAATTCAGAACTAAGGACATCAGAATTTGAGGTAGAATCATGCTCGAAATTTCTCCCACCACCCACAGATGATGAGCTCTGGTCACTGTCATTGAACAATGGTAGCCAGTCTGCAAATAGAACTTTGGGAAAAGGAGGTAGAAGTTTCACTCTGGCCACTGTTGATTGGCACTGACTCACAGAAAATGATTCTGAGAGTGAGATTTGGCTATTATTGTCACCCGATAATTGTTTCGGTTTCAAGAACTGGATGTCTGAGTCCAGAGATTTGCTCATGGAGGCATGAGAAGATGATCCATCAGCCTTTGCCACCTTCTTCTTGAGGTAGGTGTTCCACTGGTTCTTCACTTCATTGTCAGTTCTTCCTGGTAGATGCATTGCTATCTGAGACCACCTGCAATACCAATTTCAGATTGCCTTAAGCTCTCACTCAAAGAGAAGAAAAAGGATTTGGCACTAATGGTATCATTTGCAGTAATTTAACTTCTCTGAACTCCTCTTAATCCACTTCATGGCACTCAAGTCAGATGATTTTGATCTTTACCATTGCTTGCTTACTAAATTTTGCTGTTAAATTAGGATACAACATAAATGTGCTTCCTTGATCATCATGAAATGATTGTATGTGTACTGTCATCTAAATCTTTTGAACATATACTTCTAAGATCTTTGCAGGAATCAATAACATTGAATGTGCACGAACTGAATGCTTACTTGTTGCCCAAAATGGCATGAAGTTTCATCACTGTTTCCTCTTCCTCTTGAGAGAAAACACCCAGCTTGAGTCCTGGCCTCAGGTAATTGATCCACCTCAACCTGCAGCTCTTTCCACTTCGATGCAAGCCTGCAGAAGAAAAAGGAGTTGATACATTTGTCAGCTGTTTGTTCATCCCAAGAGAAGAAGACATCATCAAAATGTTCTATGATCACCCTATGAACAAGAACACAGACAAAAAAACAAGGTAATGGTGTGCATGGACAATCAAAACATGGTTTCAAAAGAATATTTGGATTCAACAAGAGCATGCGGAATGGTGATTTAGTTGCAGAATGTGCTTTAGAAGGGATAAAGTCTAGAGTTATTCTTCAGATAAGAGTAGGCATGTGGAAGTTGGAAATGAGATACCAGATTTAGCAGGAACTGAACTCCAGTAGCCATGGCCATGCTCAAGGATGTGCTCCCTCAGCCTCTGGTCCTCATCCGGCGACCACAACCCTTTCCTATGCTTCGCCTTCGGCTTCTCCCATGTCTTGCGCCCCATTTCAAGGCAATCCTTACAGGCCGCTTGCTACTGGCTGGTTTCTGCCAGAGTGTGCAGGGATTGCAGAAGAGCTCTGCTTGTTGGCTTCTCTTGCAATCTGTGATGCCAATGGGTGCCACAAATCTGAAATTTAAACTACTTGTGCAGAATTGAAGCATGGATTAAGAACAGTAATGAAGATTAGCTTGTGGTGTGCTTGGAATGAATCAACACTGCCAATTTTCTCATTGATTGGTTAATGGTGCAGGAAGCATTTGTGTGATCATTAATCATTCATTGTGAGAACATACATATCTGATGACTCATCATTCAACCATAGATTTAAGCCATATATTGATGTTCTTATGGTCTTTTCAGATCATTAGCACACAGAATAAAGTAGAGGGAAGGGATCAAAGCCAAGCGTGCACTTGTGGTCAGCTTTGTTGGTAAGAATTATTCAAAATATTTCTGTTCTTTAGGAACTCATCTCATTCACAATATAAAACACAATGCTCTTTTCATTTAACAGAAAGAAATAATAATCAGATTGGTACAATTAATCCCAACTACTATTAATAAGAAGCAAATGAATTTATATATATATATATATATATATATATATCTAGCAAAAGCTTTCCACACAAATACCCATGCAACATGTGGCTATGAAGAACGCGATGGTCCAACCTCAGACCCTTTGATTGTTTTGAACTTGCAAAGTAGTCCATTTTAGTGCTAATAAGGTGTTGTTATTCTATTATACCATTTATTTGCCATTAGATGGGAAATAGCCCATAAAAGAAACATTTGGACTAATAGGAAGAACATCTTTTTTAATTACATGAGAAGCAGTTTCAGCAAATCCAAGAAAACTATGTGTAAGACTTCATATTGTTTATTCAAAGAGTATTTGTTCTTGATCAAAACATTCTTTATTACCTACAGTACAAATAAATTTGTGCACAGTACACTACTAATATATTCATTATGATTTGACTGATTGAAAAATGCTCATCACCTGCCACATAAAAAACAAAACATAAAAAAAAAATTCTGTGACATTAAGAACCTGAGTTATTAGGTAGAAAATAAATCCTTTCTTATTTTCCTTCAATGTTTTCAGTATTGGAAATAAGTTTTTTACTAACTAACTAGATGAAGAACTCCCAGTTTTGGGTGATTAAGAAGGGCACTAATCTTAGTTTTATTTGTACATATTAGCATCAAGGTTTTACTCAAGCACAGAAAAGATGGTTTATTACTGTTAATTCCCCAATCTCTCATGCTGTTCAACTTTGAATATGTTGCTGCATGTAAAGATTCAACAACTAACATTTTAGACTCATCATCTTTGTCAATTGGCTTCAGAGATTACTGTTCCTTTACACAGCAAACAGATCTTTCATACTGTTCAACTTTGAATATGTTGCATGTAAAGATTCAACAACTAACATTTTAGACTTATTCCTTGTGGGTTTGTCTTTCTAAAGGAAGATAAGATATAGCTGACATACAAGTCTCTAACACATTGAATTAATTTATGGACACAAAAGTACACATAGTTATCAAAATTGAATGGGTCCAATTTGCCCATTTATATAAATAGAAGAATGAATCTGTCAATCCCAATCAAACTGGTTTTAATAATTATTGATATGTCTCTTCTTCAGAGTAATAAATAATAAAAAAAATTAAAAGATCAAGAGATCTTAGAATCAAGCACTAAGTTGCTAGTTTATATTTATATTATATAATCATATTATATTTATAGTAAACATATGGTCTGATAGATTGATCCATTGGTTTGACCAACAATCAAATGGCACAAGATTTAGAACTTGTTCCAAATATTGTGAAATTGTAGTAGCATGTGGTCCTATGCTCTCTTTGAAGATCTTATAAATAAATCATATGATGACTTTAACTTATTTAAGAATAACTAAGCACCTACCCCTTGGAATAATGAGCATTCTTTGTACAATATAGAGAAAAATGTGGCCTAGCAAGCTATTCTTTTTTACACTTGAAGCAGATTTAGTAACATTTTTTCTTGGTGACCTTCTAGCACAAATCATACTTTGTTGACTTAAGACCTCATTTGCTGTTTTCCTTTTTTATAGAATTTTCTTTTTGTTCTTTATGATTTTGTTGTTGTTGTATATACTTTTTTATTCCCATGACCTTAGAAAGATGGAGGGGAAATAGACATAGAGGTGATTGATGTCTTTTTCTTCACCTAACTAAATTCTAGATGATTGATATTCTACACAAATGGATAGCTAATCCCTTTTACAGATACAGATTTCGTTGACTATATCTAATCTACATTTGATGCATATTATTACTGAGAATTCCAGGATTTCTTTTTTGTCATTTGGGGATGAAAACTTATTTAACTCAAAATAATCAAAGAGCAAATCCTAAACAAAATGATCCATTTTGGATTTGGTGATATATGTAAAATAATAAAATTTGTTGATAATAGGAAGAAATTATATTTCATAAAAATGAGAACTTAAGAAAATCTTTTTTGTTTCTCACACACATTCGACCAATTCAACATAACCCATCCTTTGTGACATAAAGATTTACCTTTTACACTATCTTCTCTCCACCTCAGATAGATTAGGCATGTGTGATGCAAGCTTTTAGCTAAGACTGACATTAGTTCATTTGAGTTAAATAAATAAATAAGAAAATAATATATCTGATAAGTTGATAATTTTAGTTATATTTCACTGGATAGATAAAGACAGTCCTGAAGAAACTTATATAAGTTGAAATTAGATTTAAAGAGATAAATATAAAAATCAGTGGAGGGTTTATGCATTTAATAGTTAATTTCACAAAATATCATTAAGCCTTGTTAGTCAAATTAGAATTTTAGATACAAGGATAACTGGATCCGACCCGCTTAGTAATCGGGTTGAACCAAACCATCATGAGGTCATGATCCGTTGCTAAACTCTGTCGGACTCAAATGCCCTTGAGATCGCATGTCAATCCGACCCGATCCATCCCCACGGTCATTGGCGGTTGATGATGGGCTGCTCCCCATCAAAGCGGTGGCCCCCATCACATCGGACGGATGCAAATAACCAAATATGGAAGCCTCGCGAGGGGATGAACACGGGGAGACTATCGAGGGGTGGGGCTGTCGCCGCAGTGATCATCGAGCGCCGGAAGTGCTTGAATCGCGGGGTATATATATTCTTTCTCCGAGTGAAACTTCAGATCTCTCTTCCTGGATTTGTGCCTTGGCTTCTTGAACCTCAATCGTTCAGCCCAGGGGGAATCACTTGTCGATAGATAGTTGACGATTCAGGAAAAAGAAGGAATCTTAGTGTTTCTTGGTACAATTTTCGCGTTGTTCAACCAGAAACTCTAGAATTTTCCCATACTGGTGTAGAGATTTGTGTTTGTTAGGCTGAATCACGGAATTTGGGAACAAAACAAGAGTTTTTGATCTTTTGGTTCAGTTCGTATTGGAATTCTAGTATTCGGTTACGCCAACCCAGTTATTGGAATTATAGCTTTCTGTTCCATTGAAATTTAATCGTATTTATCCGATTCTAATACGTGATCATCTCAAATATACTATTTGTTTTTAGCTTTAATATTATTGATCATCTAAAAGCAAGACAGTATTGCTGTGTCAACACAATGCATCTGTTTGCCATTTAATATCTTTGTTTTATTCAGAAATGGACAGGTTATTTAATTCTTTACCTCGGTAGTTGAGACATTAGGTGATTCATTTCCCTGTTGTCTTATTGTATTGGTTGATGACATGTTATGCATTTGGGGGCGCTTGTATTATACTAATTTTATTAGTATTTGTTACAAGTCAAGGTGATGCTTCAAATGGAAACAAAAGAGAAGAGGGAAGTATACAGCTGTGAGTTCAAATTGGTCAGTTAAATGAAATATCCTTTTCTTCAGTCATTTTCAGTTGCAAACAAATGCAGAAACTAATTGACTTCTAAGATTGCATTGTAGAGGGAGAATCCTCTGAAGAGAAAAGACAAAGTTTATGTTGGTTGTGGAGCAGGCTTTGGCGGGGATAGACCACTGGCAGCTCTCAAATTGCTTCAAACAGTCAAAGAACTTGATTATCTTGTGCTTGAATGTTTGGCAGAGAGGACACTTGCTGAACGCTATCAACATATGATGGCTGGGGGAAAAGGTTATGACTCTCGAAGTATGACACTATCAACATATTAGAATCTTTCGGCAATTTATTCTAGAATTTGTTAAATCATTCAGGGATGTAATATGATATAAGCATTTTTTTATGCCAAAACATGGTTAACTTATATTTTACATGTCAGAAGTTTGACATCCGTTATCAGCAGCCGCTTTGTGAATGTCTTCTTACGTTATTCCTTCATTTATAATGTGCTGCTACACATGATAATTTTCAGTATCAGATTGGATGTCTATGCTTCTACCTTTGGCTGTAGAAAGAGGAATTTGTCTAATTACTAATATGGGTGCAGGTAACAATCTTCTTGATCATCAGTCTGCAAGTTCTTTTATTAGTGTCTCTAATAATGTATCCCATTATGTCTGAAACAATCAATTGGAAGTGGATCCACTTGGTGCACAGCAAGAAGTTCTGGACATTGCAAGTAAACTTGGACTAAGTATTACTACTGCAGCCGTATATGAAGTTTGCCAGGAGAAATCAGGTTTGAGACTTTGATAGTTCTCTTAGTATTACTAGTTGGACAAGATGATTATTTTTTTAAACATGTAATTAAATTTGAAATGAGCCACGGGATCTTTGTGTGGCTGGTTCCCCAGTTTCTATGCTCTGTATTTTAAGATAATGATCTTCAATCTGCTCATATATTTTTCAGGGCCTAATCTTTCGATAAAAGGATATGGTCTGTGGGAAGGGGTAAGTTCCTGATAGCCTTGATATGAGATCATCATAGATTGTGGCTGAAATTACAAATGATTAGGGTATGATGGACTTAGTTATGCTTGCAATTTTCTTTAGCCATTGTTGTCAGTGCCAAGTATGTGTCATGACGTTGATCGGATGCCTATATGGTGTTGATGTTTTAGTGCAGCAGACGAGATGTATCATATTTGGATATTATCTTATAACATTGTTTCAGATTATCTTCTACATCTATTGTAATCCAATTTGTCAAGAAATGTTGTTCTTTAATTATGTTGTATGCATAGCCTCATATCCTTAAATTTGACTTGTGAAGGGCATAAGTACATACTTAGGCGCTTCTCCAATTGTTCAGTGTTTGGAGAGGCACAAACCACATGTTGTCATTACTTCCAGGATTGCTGATGCTGCACTATTCTTAGCTCCAATGGTATAAATCGTTAATCTCATTGTTATGTTTGTTAATCCTTTTCTAATTTTGATAAATAGCTAGTAATTCACCTACTTGACTTTTACTATGGTGAATGTCATCCTGCTAGGTTAAATATTGTGTTATGATTAGCGGAGATGAATTTGGTTATTAATCCATTATTCTAGACCTCCAGAAATATCATGTTTTCTGTTGGCTGCTGATTTTGCTAATATATTGTTCGTCACTTTTTAATCTTCAATATGATACTTTGCTGAAAAAGTAAATCATATCATGCTCAAAATCTTTTATAGAAGAAAATGATTTGTGAGTTCCGTATTATCATTTAGATGGGGCAATTTTTTCTTTTAGATTTTGATGATCTAGTCTGAACTTTTTGGTGCACTTATGTCATCATTTGATTTTTCTGGCTAGTAATTGCAACTTGATTTAATGAAATTAGCTATGAAAAGGATTGATATTCTTGAACATGTACTTCAACTAGACAGATGCTGGAAATGCAAGTAAAGAAGCTTAAATATAAATCATGACTGACATATACCTTGTTAACCAAATTAGCATGATCAAGCTAGAAATGAGAAAAGGAAGGTGGGGGAATGGGGGGTTGATTGGGTGGGTCAAGTTGCTGTACTACGGAAAAGAAACCACTCTTACATTGTAGTATCTGCTAACTATTCATTGATCAGCTCAAGGATCATTTTATCTAGAGATGTTGGTTTTATGTTAGATATCATTTCTTCTTATGCATGCACGTATTAATCTCTAGGACTTTCCTCCTACAAGTATAACCCTGTAAACCTGCAATTTTTTTAACAAATAAGTTACATTAAATCGCAATAAGTGTGAGCACAAATCTATGAGTAGAGTAGCAAGGCAGATGCAAACAAGCAATATTTGAGTATTTGGATATTTGTTGTGTGCCCTGTGCAATAATTTAATTTTATGATTAGGTGTATGAACTGGGTTGGAACTGGAATGACTTCAGTCTGCTAGCACAAGGGACCCTAGCTGGCCATCTTTTAGAGTGTGGTTGTCAACTCACTGGTGGATATTTCATGCATCCAGGTATGCCCTATATAACAGCTTTCCTAACAAGTGGGTACAATAGATAGATGGTCATGGTAAACCCAACTTTTCAATGTGTATGAAAATATATTATCATGTCAATAATGTTAAGTGATAGTTTCTATGTATTATTCATGCAGGAGACAAGTATCGAAAATTATCTTTGGAACAACTTTTGAATTTGTCACTTCCTTATGCTGAGATTGGTTATAAAGGAGAAGTATGTGTAGCCAAGGCAGAAGGTAGCGGAGGACTTCTCGACAACAGTACATGTGCCCAGCAGCTTCTTTATGAGGTTGGAGATCCTAGTTCCTATATAACTCCTGATGTGGTAAGGATTTATGACGGTCCCCCCCACCCTCATTGTTAAAGTTACTGGCTCAAATATTAACTTAATGTCATAGAACAGGTTATAGATTTGAGAAATGTCTACTTCTGCCCATTATCGAATGATAAAGTTCTCTGCTATGGGGCAAAGCCTTCTAGTGTTCAATTTCCTGATAAGCTTCTGCAATTGGTTCCAGTGGTAAGTGATTCTTCAGTATAATTATATGAGATGTAGCTAATATGTTAATCTGATATGCTTGGTTTTCGCCTAGAGGCTATATGCTAGACTACATTAATTGATCTGTTTCAATTACGCTCTTATAGATATAACAAAGGTTCAAAAATCTGGTTGGACTAGTTTGTGTCAAATTATACCTACTGGGGCAACCAGGTTTGTGAAGTTTGGTCTGAAACTGATTTTTTGATCATTTTATATGTACAGCTGTTGACAAGCAAGAGTTAAAACATTGTGAAATCTGTTGACTGTCAACAATTGTTAAATGTCAACAACGCTCCCCGTCTCCTCATATCCTCCTCCTCTATTCCTCATCCTCTCCTCCTCTTCCTCTCCCCCTTCTCCTCCCCCTCCCTTCTCCTTCTCTCTCCTCCTCCTCTTCTTTCTCCCCTTTCTCTTAGGTCTGTGCCAATTAATACACTGATATGCCTGGCTGGAATCGCTGGATCCATATGGGTCTTGGTTCAAAACTTGAACTCTTGACCACAACCTCTAGAATGACTTGCTAGGATTTCTGGGTTCAGCTTGATGAACCTCTATTCACCATGAAATTTTATGCAAGGCACCATAAGGGATCATTATTTTAGCATGCTAAGTCATATACTTAATCAGTTGTTTTTTCATACTCTTCATTCTTTTTTTAAATTAATTCTTGTCGGCATTCTGCACAACATGAATGATTGAGACCATCTAAAATGTATATGAGGGGTAAATTGCACCACCACCACTTTAAAAGCATTGAAGAGAGACGAGTGAGATGAAGCCATCTCAAATATATGTGCTTTATTATTGCATTTAATATCTCTTAACATTATGGTGCTTGACTTCGCTTTTTGTTGCCACATTCTCACCTAGGTTAATGAAAGCATTTTATCATTAATAGCATTCTTGAAGGATACCATTGTTATGTGTCGATGTGTTCATTATTAGTATGCTTTTAGCTTGTTTTTAAATTATTTTTGAAAATGTAAAAGAATTATTAGTTTTTCAGGATTGTGGATGGAAAGGCTGGGGAGAGATATCGTATGGAGGATTTGGATGTATAAGACGCGCCGAGGCTGCAGAATATCTGGTCTGTTACTGAAGAATATGTATAAGTCTTCTAGTCCATGTTTCATTAACTGTTAGAAGGTTCTAAATAAAAATTGCAAGATCATAGAACAATCCAGAACCCAGGTCTGCTCAATCGCTGCAAAAGATTTATATTTTTTTAATTGCATGGTATTGCTTATTGTTGTCATCTAGAAACTTGACTATGCTGCCTATCTCATAATTCCATATTAGGTTAGGTCATGGGTGGAAGAAGTATATCCAGGAATTGGAGATTGTATCAAATCATATATTGTTGGACATGATAGCCTGAAAGCAACTGCAACCCATGAGGGCAGTTTCTCCATGGAGCAAATGGATATTAGGCTTCGCATGGATGGTTTGTTCAAGTTGAAGGAGCATGCAGTTTGCTTACTTCAAGAGTTTACAGCTCTCTATACAAATGGGCCAGCTGCTGGTGGTGGTATTTGGTAAATTTAACTCATGAAAATTCTTCCTTTTTTGTTAACTGTTCTTTTGAAAAGACAACATGAAATAAATTTGATGGTTTATTGACTTTATTATGATATTATATATATCAGTGTATAGGATATTGTAAATGGTATTCTTCTTAATTGGAATTGAATTGATGAGTTTGCACCTGTCATTGCTTGAAGCTTAATGTCTGAGTTGCTTTGTTTGAAATGCAGCACCGGGCACAAGAAGGAAATAGTTCTTCAGAAGCAACTGGTATGGTTCTCTATGTTTAAGGCACTGGTACAATATCTTATTTTGAATAGCTTCTGTATATTGGTAACAGTTAGGAAAAGGATTATGGTTTGTCACTAATACTGCTTATAGGTAACAATTTTTGTTTTTCAAAAGCATATAACCTCACACATTGTGGTTATTTGTAAATCAATCCTCCCTTAAAATCGACCCCTGAAGTTAAGATAATAAGTCAACTTGATGGATAAATATAAAAGGGTAATTATACGCTTAAATGTTTAACCATGATTAAGAAAAATAAGTCAACCTGATGTTTTATTCTTTGTGATGAGAATACTTAATAGCTAGGTCACGAGATGACAGACACGATTCATGGTGTTGATTAGGCAGTGATAAAATAAGGAAATGATTATACAGTGGAGGTAGGAGCACAAGGGAAAAGGTAGGTGTAAGTTACAACCTTCAGTGAATTTTCTTTTATCAGCCATGAACTTGTGAAGTTTGAGGCACTTTTTAAATTCTTTTTATCTGGGATATAAAAATGGATGAAGGTCTGATTTATAAATGACACATCATGCATGCAGTTGTTTGTCCTCAAAGCAATATTCTCAATTTCCTGGCTAAATGTCTCTGTTTCCATAATGGCTTCAAACAGCATCGCTTGGTTGACAAGAATGAATGAGTTCTAGAGCATTTGTGATTCATTATGATTCCATTTAATAGTACTTTTCTAAACATTTTCTAGCTGATAATTGGAAACCTCCTATTCCAGGCACTGTTGGGTACTGTTAAATGCACAAGTAGTTGCAGCTGAGGATAAATTTTTAAACCACACAATGGTGCAGAAGTTTTTCTGTTAAAATATTTGATAGTACAAGAGATTTTCCCAGTAGAATTGCGTGTATAGATGTACGAATCTATATCTGTTGTTAAGGGTGAGTGGTGCATGCATGTGTAGCAAATATGTTTGTCTCCACCTATTTTTCAGTCCCTATCCCCACCTGCAACAACAGGCCCACATTGAACTGATTCTTTTCTCTCCAATCTGCAAGAACTAATCTCTTATTCAAAGTCTAATATTTTCTAGGAATCTTTTTCTACTGGTTTACTTGTGGATAAAGTGGAATTCGATCTTCTTCTTGAGGCAATAATTTTGGTTTTAGAGTAACCACAATGCATCTCAAGGATTGTATTGTTGTCCAGGTTGAACGCGAAAACATTTTCTGGGGATTTGAAATAAAGAAATCAAAGCTTATAGATCCATCCAAGAAGGAAGCTACACATGATGGATCAGATCCTATCAACACTGTAAGAGAAGAAAATAAAGTTCTGCTCATCTCAACCAGCACCTCTATCAGTGGTGCGATATCCTCAGCACTCACAGCTGCTGCTCCATCCAACAAGAAGATTCGTCTCTATCAAGTCGCCCATAGCAGGGCTGGGGACAAAGGAAATGACTTGAACTTCTCCATCATCCCTCATTGTCTGAAAGACATTAATAGGCTTAAACAAGTTATAACAAAAAGTTGGGTCAAAGATGTGGTTTCACCCCTCCTTGATTTCTCCTCCTTCCCCAGTGCTGAAGCTATTGAGCAGAGAAACAAGAAGATGGAGCAGGTGACAGTCGAAATTTATGAGGTCCCAGGCATCCACTCTCTCAATGTTGTCACACGGAATATTCTTGATGGTGGCGTTAACTGTTCCCGGAGGATAGACCGGCATGGCAAAACTATATCTGACCTCATCCTGTGTCAGGAAGTCGTCTTGCCTCCGTTAACAACTGATGATGTATAGTTTTCATGTGTGCCTTGTTGAATCTGTATTCGCAAATGCTAGATTAAAGCAAACCCATATCATTCAATCTGAATCTATCCTTTGCATCAAATGGCAATTTGTGGAATGATAACTATGTGGACTTTGAAAGTAATTCTCATTTCTACTTCTTGCTGCATTCTTTTTTTCTTTAAGAGTTTTTAAGTGAGGCAGAATGAAAGCCTTAATCTGGTGAAAAGAGACCTTCAAACTTAGTTGCTTCATTGCTGGATGGTTAATCAATGTGTGGTGTTCTTTTTCCTACTTGAATTGGAGTCCATGGGCATTGTAATGCATGAGTAGGAATCTCCCATTATCTTCAGATTATAGTTGAGCCCAGATATGAAATATGACGTTCACATGTGGATTCTAATCACAGTATGTTAACCAATCTCAATGTCTCAACAAAGACAAAAGATGAACATTAAAGTTGCAAAAAGTTCATCTGAATGATACAATTGTTGGATGTATCAACAGAAACTAGAGATGAGTATATCTTGAGTTACGTAAGGTTCATCTCAATTACATAATTGTCACATCGATCAATATGAATCGCATGAGGCATCTTCTGTGGCGTTTTAGCTAGAATATTTTTTTTGCCTATACCTGAGATTTGTTGATTATTTCCTCAAAAATAGGATAAGTTTATTAACATACTCTGTGTCACTTATACTCTCCATCATTGACAAGCATGCTGAGAATCTTATATCTCATTGCTAAAGACTGAATTCTCTGAATTAGCACGAGAAAGAATCATTTAATTGCTCTCTAAATCAATCTTGCATCTTGATTTGCTTCGTTGATGCTGTAATTAACAGACTGTTTCATGTTCCTCTTTGTAAGGACACATAATGCGATTTCCAATGGATTATTGCTTCAACATACTGGCCATGATGGATTACAACCATGACAGTAACTTATGCATTCATTATAATATAAGAAAGGGAAGTTAGAATGATGTCGAATCCATGCACATATCATATGTACGACGTACTTGCATCGGTGTTGAAAGTTTGGGCCACTAAACATTTGTCATCTTCCTTCGTTTTCTTAGCTTCCATGGGAACATGAAATCATGTTCTAGAGAGGATCAGTTTTCTCGTCCCCAACTTAGATAAGATAAAACTAAGGTCAAAAATCAGAGAAAGGCAGTGAGACTACCTCATTATAAACTGAATCCATATTTAGCTTATAAGAAATATGTTGGTAGGATTAGTTAGTATTTCAGTTAATTTAAAAAATTATATTAATATCCTTATAGTTATAAAAGTGAAACATCTTGATTCATTTATCATAACGTTATTTATTTTACCAATACAAATATGAAAACAAAAGACAAAGATGTAATCTTAATATTTCAATTGATGATAACGGATGACTACGTCATTGGGGGGGTCATTCGATAATTGCGTCGACGTCGATGTAGATGTAGAGCGACCCCTAGTAACGTCGTTATCCGTCATTATCAATTGAAATATTAAAATTATATTTTTATCTTTTATTTTCATATTTTCGTTAGTAAAACTAATGACATTAGGATAAATGAATCTAGATGTTTCACTTTCATAATTATAAAGATGTTAATATAATTTTTTAAAGTGTATGCATCAAGTTATTAAAGGTAATTAACTATAAGAGATATAATATAAAATTAGAGGGGATATTAAGTTATTTACAAGATAAGCTAAGCATGCATTAATCTAAATATCTGCTTCCAGCAATTTGATGCAGAATTGAAGAGAAACTTTAGACCTGAAGACAAAATCAATTTCAATGTTTGATGACACTCCTGGAAAAGGCTACCACATCATAAGGCTTAATAAAGGAACAGAAACCTTTTTGACAAGCTAAGCTAGAGAGCAGAAGACTCATACATAGATCATCATCCAGAAAACAACAAAGTACGAACTGAAGAAATAAATTTAGACAGGACAAACTATTTTTGAAGTCTGATAGCAACATTTTGATAGTTACAGCATCATAAGGCTTAAGAGCTTCTTCTTTGCCTTGTTTTTGCATCTGATATTGAAGGCATTGAAACAGACGAGCATAATAACATAAATTGTTCACGAACTCTATTGTCTTATAAGATTCATCGTACATAATAACATATATGGAAGGCATTGAAACAGACGAGCATAATAACATCTGTAATGTATAAAATCTATTGTCTAATAAGATTTATCGTACCACGATATAATGTCCGATATGGACGATACATATTATCAATAAGAGAACATGCATACCGGTTTGTCGATATATCTCACCGATTGATTTTTGGGTATCAATTTGAGAGCTCGTTCTTCTCCAGATGACTACCTCACCGTAGGAACTAACCCATGTAAGTAGACCTCACCTGCCTATGATACTGATCGGCTTAAGCTCATTCCCTCTCTCTCTCTCTCTCTCTCTCTCTCTCTCTCTCTCTCTCTCTCTTACCTTCCTCTTTCAATCTTTCTCATCTCCTGTGAGCACCAATTCTACCATGAGCTCCCAGAATTTTCTTCCACCACATGAGATATTGTTCCTCCTAATACTGTTAAGTGTTGGGCAGCTCACTGAGATCTGCCATGGCAGAAGAATGGTCAACACAGAGGTGCAAAGACAGAGAGGTTTGCCCTCAGCACCATCCATGGCTTATTTTTCCCAGATACCACCTTCACAAGAGCATGATGATGATATCAACCCAGCTTATGGAGAATCCAAGAGATGGGTGCCTCAGGGTCCAAATCCTCTGCATAACTGACCAGGTTTTACCTGTTCTCCAGGCCTTCTGATAGAACTTATATTTGTAGATAGATGGCTAGAGAGAGAGAGAGAGAGAGTTTAGTTCAGTTTATACAACTTGGTGATATTATTGTTCTGTAGAAGCGATGGATATCTCAATCTTCCCTACAAAAACTAACCAGAGTATATTGCTTCAAAGTATTGAAAGATTTTGTAGGTATTTATACTTTCACATCATATCAGAACCAGTTGCAGCAATTTCATCTCATCAATTCTGCATCAAAGTGCTCATTCTCATTTGAGACACTTTTAACAGACATTGAACAAGCGGAAAAGCTTGAGAGCTTTACACATCTTGGTGAAGAATGTACTGCAGCAAATCAAACATTACCACTGCAAGAAATGATGCAAACATGAGAAATATCAACCTCAACCCCTTGAGTTACAAGTCAAACATGCAATGAAGTGGAACTAGATTTTACCCTTTGAGGTCTGTTTATATCTGCAATATCTCAACTCACTGGATACTAAACTCTCTTTTAGTGTAGGTTCCTCCTCTCATCAAAATATTCTTCAGGTGAGTTCCTGCTGTGCCACTTTGCTGCAGAAGATTAAAGCACAGCATAGTACACTTCCTCAAGAAGGAACAGGGAAGAATGCATTCTTAAATCACTTTGGTTGGTTGCACTAAAAATGGACATTGGTCACTAGGGTAGCTCATCCGACCTTCTAATATTAATTAATATTGATAGGATCTGGATAATAGACCACTGTGGTTTCTGCCACAAAGAAAGAAAGAAGAGCTGCTGATGGATGATGCAGAAGACAGAAGCTGGGAAATTAGAGGAAATAATAGATGGAAATCATGGACTATTGGACTATGAGAACTCTTTCATTGAATAGTCATCTCATAGCATGTGTTTCTTCAACCTGTGTGCCAGCCACTGATCACATTCAAAAATAATACTCCAAATAATTAAGGAGGTTTTATGTTTCTAGCATTTCAAAATCTGGAAATAGCATATTTACCACTCCACGTATCCCCTCAAATTTTAGATTTTTAATAAAAAATATCCTAACAGCCTTTCTCATCCCGACAACTCAACAAAGGCCGAATCACCCCCCATGAGACAGTGATGTGAAGGTCATTCGAGTTGATTCTATCGATCTCCGTGGACAACAATCTAAGGGTAGTTGTTTGGGTCTGCACCCCCTCGATGTTGTCCACAAGAAATAGTTCAAGACTATTTCCTTATGAAAAAAACATTAGAAGGAAGACGTTACAATCGTTATAGGGCTGTCACCTTCTTGGGCAAAATGTCAAGGGGAAGGCATTACTATTATTACGAGCGATTCCTTCCATTGGACAAGTATAAAAATCAACATTCGACGCTAGCCTAAGGGTCAGATCTCTTGGTAACTAACCTCTTACCCCTCATTCCACTCTAAAAAAACTAATTTGAATGTCATAGGGGTCAGGTCGAGAAACTCTCACATGACACTAACCTTGTGTAAGAACTTAGTAAGGAGCCAGACCCCATCTAAATTCGACCTCGAGACCATCTCGAATCCCGATACTTCCACATGATTGTCATCTCGAATCTAGAATACCTTAGTTCCCTCTCAATTGCTTCACAAGACACCCACAGGAATCCACCATGAATCCCCCTCGATGATACGTTTCCCATAATAGTTTTTATATTATATTATATTATATATAAATATATGTATATATGTATACATCTTTTTGAATCTTTAGATCCTCGAAATAACACTCATGTTAATATCTATCCAATAAACTCAAAATAATTAATTAAAATTTAATATTCCTAAATTAGTTTTTATTATTTTAAGAATATCATTTAATTTAAACTTTTTAATTTTATTTACTTGATACACACGATACACCCAAGCTCTATCACATAATCAGAAAGAAATAACGGTTATGCATCAGGGGAGAATTGGATTCATCAACCCCTTGAAAGGACTTTTAGATTTCCATTTGCATGCATGGATTACACCACAAAAATTACTTTTCGATGACAGCATGATAAAATATATACATATATTTAATAAATGTATTTAGAAAGAGTGTTCTTATGATAAGATTACTCGGATATTTTGGGCCATGAAAAGATCTCCATCTTTATTTTGGTTTCAAGGAACTTACACTGCAACCAAATAGTGGCTATTGGGCCAAATGGGGGCCCAAAACCAGGCTTCATGGGTCCAAATCAACCTATTCCTGGGGGGCCCCACTGTATCAAGAAGCGCGGGTGATGGATAGAAGACGATGGGATAAGAACGAGGCGGAAGAAATCCCAAAGCCGTAGCAGCAGCAGCGGCAGAGCTCAGGGGAAAGGGAGCGAGCACTAGGAAGTCGAATGGCGACGGTGTGCCTTCCCGGGGCGTGCTCTTCTCCAGCACACGTGCGCTTCTCCCGGCGCCCGGCCGCCGCGCCGGCACCTCCCTCCCAAGCCCGAATCCGATGCGCAGGTGCGTATTGCCGAATCGATTCCCTCTTCTCGCGTCTTCTCCCTTGCGCTTCTTGTGGTCGATTTGTTCTGGATCTATCTATAATGACTACTATCCGTTCTTGGAGAGAGCGTTGGGAAGATCAATCAGCATGTGATTGGGTCGATAAATTTGGCTGCTGCGTTTCTTACTCATGCCTTTGGAATCAACTGACGGCGTTGAATCGATAGGATAAAAGTATATGTTGTAGCATTTGTCTCCAAAAGTTATCTTTTTCTTATGTCTTCTTATTGATGAAGGGCGCCTCACATTAATAGACGAATTTAGCTTCTTTGGCTCTTTTGATATGCTCTCCAGTTAGGTTTATCGATTGAAAGAGGTAAATTTCTGGAGAACCAGTGGACATTGCAGATTTGATATCAGAGGATAAAAAATGCATCAATTTAGGGACCATTGTGAGAGTTGTTATTACAAAGTCCTAAGAATAAGCTTATTTGTCGATTTGGTCAGATACAATTATACTTTTCAGTTACCTTGAGACATTCCACGGTATAAGATAGAATAAAAAATATATGCCATCCAAGTAGCTACAAAGAAATAAATGCAGAATATAATCTCCGAATAAGAATCCTTGAGCCACTTTTATTCCTCAGCTTTCTAACGCAATTGCTATGTAGACTACAGTTGTCTTCTTAGATGTTTATCTAAGATGAATGTCTCATGTAGCCCAAACTCAAATTTTTCATCTTGCTGTAATTTTTTTGGTTCAGATTATTGGATGCATCATCTAATGCATTCTAGTTGTCTTCAGCAATTGAGGACCAGACAAGCTTCTTAGAGTTTTCTTGCTCCCCAAAAGGAATGAAGAATCTTGCTTGCGGTATGCTTGCTGCCTGGGCAATCACCACTGCCTCTCCTGTTGTTGCTGCAAGTCAGGTTCGGACTTGGATACTAGCTGCATTTATACCACATTACTTTGTGGACTAATTCTTTTGTAGCTGTTTTTCCTTGTAGAACTTTCTTCTCATGATATAGTATGTTCCTATGAGATACTAAACTTCATGAACAATTAGTCGATTTAAAGGCTCCATTAGCCAATATAACTCAAACTTTTATATAAATGTGATTAAATATCCCTGAACCTGGCTGTTGGCAAAATTCTAATCTTTGTTCTTTTATTGCAAGTGGTGTTTTAGGGTGACTACCACCCGATAAGAAATTGGTTGAAAACTCCCAAATATACACAAATGATTCAAGAAGCGGGCATATAATAAAGATTCCAATTCATGCTGGTTTGTTAGTTCTCAGGATGTACTGAAAGGAAGATTCCTCCAGACATGTTGGGTTTAATACAGTTGGAATTTGAGATTGAGTTTGCTGTTTAGCACTGGTGTGGCATGTTTTGCAAGTTCTAAAATATAATAATAGTTGATGAATTCTTTGATATTAACATTGGCAACCCGATTAAGAAGCATTTCACGGGATCCCCAGGTGTTGAATAGTTAAAACTTAATTGAGACTAAGACCTAGGCATTTGAATTACATGTGTGCTATAGTATTCCAGTTCATTTTTGTCTAAATTAGTTGAGGCTATGTTTGTCCTTAAACATTGTCTTGCTTTGTCTCTTTTTAATATCTGGGCTTCATCATTCGATTTGAAGCTTTTCGTGATCAATTATTGCAGTTAATTCATTTAGATTGACTGCACCTATAGAACGTATTCAATCATCAGTATGTAATTGGTTAATTTACATATTTGAGAGGACCATATAAATACTTTCATAAACACTGATACCCTTCCGTGAATGTTCTTACATTTGTCAAAATGAATGCCATGTTGTACACTTTATCTTCAATAGTCAGACAAATGCATCTAAATGCTTAATTGAGTTTTGATGGTAACCTAACTCTTCATGATGTGTTACAAAAATCATGTGTAGATCCTAATGTTGTTTCTCTCGATATACATTTCTGAACTCTTCTTTGGGAAAATGGATCTTCCTTCTTGTTGATGATAAAAAATCGATGGCCAAAAGGAGAGATCCTCTAAAACCTTTGATGGAACATCCAAGTGCTTCATCTTTTAGGTCCATTTGGTCACTACCCGTTGCAGTAAGTCAGCCAACTTCGTCACATCATGTTCTTCTTCTTGTAGAGGCTGCCTCCACTTTCAACAGAGCCAGATCGTTGTGAGCGAGCATTTGTTGGGAATACAATAGGTCAAGCAAATGGTGTATATGACAAGCCACTTGATCTGCGGTTTTGTGACTACACAAATGATAAATCACATCTCAAAGGGAAATCACTTTCAGCTGCCCTCATGTCTGATGCTAAGTTTGATGGTGCTGATATGACAGAAGTTGTGATGTCCAAGGCTTATGCTGTTGGAGCAAGCTTCAAGGGTGAGAAAAAGTCATTTATTTTAGCATTAGTTGGCATAGTACCATGTACTGCAATCTATAACCTTCTTACATAGTTTGTCCTCTAAAATGCAAATTCATAGACATAATAGTAGTAGCACATCAGGAATCTAAGTATGGTTTAATTTGAAATTACCTCAGCTCACAAACTATCTATGTCTTGTATTTCTTGAGAATTTATTGGAGTTTCCCAATTTCATGTTTGTGCATGTAATACATCCAAATTTTTGCAGCATCACCGAATTACTCTTTGTTTGCGCCTTGAGAAAAATGACCTGACTACGGTTTATCAATATTTTTGTATCATCACAGGGGTCGATTTTTCAAATGCGGTTCTAGACCGGGTCAATTTCGAAAAGGCAAATCTAAAAGGAGCAGTGTTCAAGAACACCGTCTTATCAGGCTCTACCTTTAATGATGCTCAACTAGAAGATGCAAACTTTGAAGACACCATAATAGGCTACATCGATCTCCAAAAGCTTTGCACAAATAACTCCATAAGTGCAGAAGGAAGAGCTGAGTTGGGTTGCAAGTGATGTGTAAAGCTTTGACTCATTTTGGTTTTCCCTTGTCTTAATTCTTGCTTTGTTCAAATTCCTCATGCCTTGTTTCTGAAGGTGCCAACAAACTAATTTATGTATCCATGCACTCCTTACTGGTAAAATACATATGTTTTGTATACATTATTTAAAAGTTAAGAGCTGGAAAAATGTAGAGAAAAGATCATAACTTCAGAAAATACTCACCATCTAGTTCACATCGACATGATTTGATATCAAATGCTTAGAGGAAAAATGTATGGTGTCTAATATTTCATTCGCAACTTTGCTTTCTGTACTTTATATTTGTGTGTATAAAAGGGTATGAGTTGGATTGGTTCATTTGAAGAATGTTTTCCAACATCCATCACAAAATTGAAGTTGTTAATCATAGGTTATCCACGATACAGATTCCTTTAGATGCCTAAGTGGCCTATTGTTAGGTGCCAACTACATTAACACATCAAGATCTTTGGATACCAACTTACTTTTATGGTTCATGTAAATCCATATACAACCATCCATTCAACCACACAATGTTAGTCCACTACTATATATTCTTTGTTTCTTAAATCTAAACACTTGCCCGAACTAAACCATAAGCTCTGATATCATTTGGAAGAAATACCACCGGAGAATCTTAACATACTTTTTACTTCACAAAAACAAAATTCATAATGTATTGATTACAGTTTTTATTGTTGTAATCTCTTTCTCTTTCTTTAGTGATTTATCATATTCCATTTGATTTAATATACAAGAACAAGTTCTCTTTCAAATCCCACTCTTTATCTTTGTACTACATTAGTTACATCTCACACCAAGAAATTATAGGTTTCTAATTACTTGCAAAAGTCCAGTAAATATCTTTAATCCAATTGAATATATATGAAATCTAAAAGTTCCCTTTGGGAGCTCATTTCTAATGTTATCATTCATTAGTTATCAACTATGGAAAAACCAGGAATCTATCCCCTTCTTTCCTCATCATTCTTCAGGAGAACAAGTCAAAGCAAGATAAATCAAGCCATGAAGAATGCAAACCCTTGTTATTGGTAGTAGAAAACAAGATAATTCAGACTACATCCTAAATCACCACTAGTATTTACCTAACCAGACTTGCCAAGCAATCTATGTTCAAGTTTGTAAAGTAGGCCTTGATATCACTACAGACATCAATAAGCTTGACAACACCATAAAATTTCAGCATAATAGATTATATCGATCATGCAGCTACTGAGTACTAAGTAAAAAACCAACATGCTTTAAATTCTGTCACCGGTATGAGAATCATTAATAATTACATAAGACCTATTTTCCTATGGATATAGAAATTGTTCCAGAGCATTCGTCAATTAATTGTGAAAACCATATTGTATACATAGTTTTACCATTCTATCAAAAGCAATAAGCATGAGAAAATAAAACATTTACATTCTTCCTTTGCCGCACCTCCATTGTTTTTACTTTAATGGGCTAATTTTCCCATTCCCATTCAAGAAAATTGAAAAACAGACATTTTGATATGAAGACTCTTAATTTTACTCTTACTTTTCCTCGCTAGTATTAAATACACAGTCACTTCGTCTTTTTAAAGAACAAAACTAGCAATAGGAGATTTGCCCATCAAGTATGCCCGAACCTTAAATCCACAAACCTTATCGCTTGTTTGCTTCATGTTTATTTGCACTTTGTCTGGTTTTGCAACGGTGGCTGAAATTGGCCTCACCAACAGCATCACTTAGTTCAGTACTATTCTGAAGGATAGAAAAGAGAGTGAATATTAGTCTGGCATGACCATGTTCGACTTTCCAATACATAACGCTGGTGTATTAACATTAATTAGTACTGTTAGCAATTTGTAAGTCGGTATAACCAAAGGAATTGGAGAAGCACACAATATAGAAAATGGTGGAACCTTTAGATTGACACAAGGCAAAAGAACAAGTCATTGATCCTGAGATTTGCATAATCATATCCTCCTCATGCTGATTCTCTTCTTCTTCTGACTTACTGCAAAACGCCTAGCCATGGCAACATTATAGAACTTCCTCATGTGCTCTGAGAGCCGATGGATGGCATTAAGATTTCCTATTTCTGATAGCCGCAACAAAATAGCTTCAAACCTTGAATATGACAGCTTAATCCCACGGTCTATAATCTCATCCAAGAGGAAACATGCATCCTGTGCTCTGCAACAGCTAAGCAACCCATCAATCATTATACCATATGTATCTGCAACTCGAGCACATCCTCTATTGTCCATCTCCTCCCATATGTGGATTGCCCTATCAGGTTCATTCATCTCAAAGAACATTGTCATTAACATATTATAAGTGTGAATGCTAGGCTCACAACCAGCATCTATCATCTTCTCACATAGCCTTAAAGCTTCTTCAGCCTTCTTGAGCTTGCAAAGTACCTTGAGAAAGCAGTTATAGGTAAGAATGTCAGGTCTAAAACCTGTCTCGGCCATCTCCTCCAAGATCTTATGAGCTGCATCATCCTTTCCAGCCAAACACATGCCTTCAATCATTTGTTTATAAGTTGAAACATCAGGAAGGCAACCAATTTTTCTCATATCAGCGAGGAGTCTAAAACACTCATCCAACTGATCAAATTTTGCAAGACCTACGATCATAATAGCATAAGTCTTGGCAGTTGGTGAAGATATGGTCGAACCTTTAGTTCTCATAAAACTGAAAAGCTCTCTTGCTTCTGACAGCATCCCGGCACTGCAGAAGGAATCAATTGCAGCATTATATGCAAAATTCTCAGGAGTGTGACCCATCTGAATCATTTCCTCGAGCACCTTTATTGCGGCTTTCGGGTTCCTCACTCTGCACCACCCAAAGAACATAATGTTATACGTCTCCGCATTTGGTGCGACCTTGCTCTTCAATCGGTGAAACATGGTATCTGCTTCCTTAACCAGGCTACACTTGCAGAGGGAATCCAATAGCAAGTTAAGTGCATCGGTCTCGGGTGGAGTCTTCATCTTAATTCTCCTCTTCTTCGCGAATTTCCTGAGATGGGTCAAGTGCTTCTCCGTGTACACCCTCAAGATAGTCAACAAAGCACCGATGGGCACCGATTTCTTGCCGCTCCTCTTCATGTGGTCCAAGATATCGCAGACGACACCAAATTGCTTGTCCTTGTATCTTGTGCTGGACAATACGTCGATCATGAAGTTGTATGTCGGAGGCTCGTGGGCGTACCCATCTTGATGGCCTGCCCAGGCGAAGAACCCGAAGGCCAACTTCTCGTCGTAGCGCAGCATGTGCAAGACCTCGTTCACCAGCTCGGTGGTCAGCTCGATGCCCAGCACATCGAGAGCAGCTCCCAAGCTTTCGCCGGAGCCTGAGGCGGACATTATGGCTTCGTATACTTTGCTCGAAGCAGAGCCCACGCGGCCATCTCCACTACCATCGATTGATGTGCGATTACCGGATGCATCCGAAACAAGCGATTCAGTAGAAGATGAGGAATAGAGGGACTTGAATGAGATATAAATATCAGTTCTAGGTGAAAGAATCACATCGCCAAGCAAATTACGACGGCAGGAACAACTCGATTCCCCAAGATGACGCTGGTGATGAATCTGTGACGAGGAAATGCGAGCAAAAGGGATCGAATTTGAGGGATTCGGTCTCGAACCAAGATTTTTACGGAAGATCCAACATCTAATCGAAGCCGGGATGGATCGGTACGATCTCATTTACGGCCACCGCTTCACAGGAACCCAATTAAATCTAGGGTTTATGGAGCTTGAAGGAACACCCGGCCGGTGTCGCCGCTACTAACGATTGTTTTGTGACCGTTTCGGACGAAAGACGTCGGTGTAACGGTTTCGGCGCGATCGTTTCACAGTCGCTACAGGTGGGACCACGAAATCAACGGCTGTGGCTGCTTGGATGGCTACATATGATGCAGATAACAATCCAATGGATGGGCATAGATATGATGCTAATATTCTTTTATTAATCTTTTATTTAGCATAAGATCACAACATAATGCCTTACTTTGAATTGGTATTTTTCTCTTTAGTTATCTTGTAAAAAATCCAGAGAAATGTATAGTTGAGTTTTCTCTGAGAATTTATAGTTATATTAATATGAGATTTTGAATATTTCCTGTTCTGATTAAGTACTGAAACATACAACATTGTTTTTTTATATTTTTATTATTTTATTCAATGATATGGATGATACAGATCGATAAATTACTGAAATCAACATCGGATTGGCTTTTAAAACCTTAAAATGATGAATCAAAAGATAAAACAAACAGCAATTGTGATTTGGGATGGAACAAAAAAACAAAAAAGAATTAGAAGACAAGAAATGGCAACAGTTAAGCAGATGTCTGCAGATAAACACTCCAATCATCAAGAAGAAGCTTCCTCTTATCTTTCTTTGAGCAATTTTAAGAGAACACTTGATGGAGCAGATATATGCAGAATTAACACTTGATGGATCCACAATTGGCCTCATCTCATCTTCCTTTGAGAAAATTTATTGGTACAACAGGCATGTCTATTGTAAATTTGTACTGAAAAGCTAAGATATCACTCTACAAAATTTCATCTCTTGGATCTTTCTATTTCATTTTTCGCCTATTTACCATCAAGATGTTCTTTTGGATGCCCAAAACAGGTTTATCTAGGAAATGATAACAGCTATATCAAGCAAAAGTTGCGCAACTGTCCTGTCCTTGTTTCATAAACTTCAGGTGCCTTGTTTTTATACTTCAAGCAGTAGATGGTGACTCTTCACTATGACCTTTCAAAACAGAATCATCAACCATCTTCTTCATTGATTCAACGTCATCAATCTCAGAAAGTGTGTGCATGCGAAGAGTGTCTGCATCATCGCTGCAAGGAGCAAAATAATGTCAAAAAATTTGAAAGTGAATGAAGTGGAACACATATATGCATGTGGGAAGTAGCCATACTCTGTAACACCAAATATTTCCTTAACAATAAGTGAGCTGTCTCTTGAGCAGAACTCTGGAAGCTGGACAAAGGTGCAAATTTAGGTACCAGCTTAGGTTAGCATAGCTTTTTAGAACTGGTAAACCGGTATACTAAAACCATACAAAAGAAAATCAATTTGTGCTTGAGGTTTCTAGCAAGAATCCATGTGAGTCATCAGTTAAGGCCAATATGGACTTATTAAACAACAGAGCTAAGACTAACTCACAAATTGGAAGAAACCGAAGAATGTAAAAGATGCGAGAAAAAGAAAATAAAAAATGACCAATTTCATATATTAAAAGTAAATGTAAAAGACGTTTGAGAATTTTTTCCCTTTACGTCAGATGAAAAATTTGATATTCTCAAACACACTATTATATTCATGAGTAACGAACCTCAGACAGGTTGAAAATTTTCCCAAATAATGCCTGAACAGCGAGCTTTCACTTGAAACCATTCTCTGTGAAACCTGATAGGTCCATTACGGCAGGCCCTGGAAGGGATAAACATGGATAACTGAAATTTGAGAACATAAAGAAAGTCTTCTTTTGCTAGTTAAATAAGTTTTACGACTCCATGGGATTTCCTCATAGATGCATTTTGCACTATGATAATAGCACATTAACAGAATTAAATATTAAAACCAAATATTAAGAAAGGTTTTACACTCAAATTGATGCATGTCTCTGTTATTATTTTACCTACCTAAATAGAGATATATATGCCTACAAGACATTAAATTAACCATAAAATAAACTACATATCAACACAGTCAAACAAAGAGAATTAGGACTGTTAAAGATTATATATCTCTCGACCTAATAGGTGAACAGAAGAGAGTTGGATAGCCTACAGTAAGGACTTCCCAATTTAGTTCTGATTGAAATTGTCTATGCTTAAGTAATCGAAATCATGGACTTGGGTGCCATGTTACAGGCCATACTAACTGGCTTTGGCATTGTATGAATAGGGGTCTGACACGGTTATTATTGTGCCATGTACTGGCATGAGTATTAGTCCACATTCTACATACCAGCACAGGTAGCAGCAAGAACTTTTGTTTGTTCATTACGAGTATGGTAAGTAAAACAGAATACATCAGGCACCATAATCTATGCTTGAATGACTACAAACAAATATCTATAATTTATTTGGAATTCCAAAGAAAACAAATATAAAACCAGTTCCTATGGTGTTATGACCTCTACCATAATTCATCAGAATGTGTAACCAAATAGTCACATAATTCATCATGTGATAAATGATAGAAGGAATTCAGCATGAAACCCAAGTTTGGGTATTTGCAACAAAGATGTCAGAATTGTCGATCATATTTATCACCATATTATTTGTTAGTATAGCAAGATTAAAGAATTCCAACTTGCCTATTTACTCTTAAAGGGTTTAAAAAAAGGAAATAAAAGATCAAGTTGCAAAGGAAAAAAAACAAGTAAACACAAAGAAAGTACAGAACAATGAATAGTGCAGTACAAAGTTACCCAAATTTCAGGAAGTTGCCATAGGAAGCATCCTTCAAGTGGGTAACACTACCAAGTAGGAAACAATACAGGTACAATCACAC